GTCTATGGTGGTTTTGAGACTTCGCCTTTTGAATTTAGCAGCTTCTTCTCCTTTCCGAGAAAAATAGAACCTTGCATGAAGGAGGTGATGGTCTGATCTCGTGTACAATTTTGGGACAACAGCGAACATCGGTCAGGCAAAACCTTCCATTTACTATGATGTGGTCTATTTCGTTATCGCACTCTCCATCGGGAGACTCCCACGTCCAACGTTGAGGGTGGGGCTTTTGGAGTTGCGAGTCACCGTGGATTGTCTTGGTTCCATGATAAACTCAGATATCCGCTCACCCTGTTCGTTCCATTCTGATCCATGGGTGTGACGTTCTTCAGACGTTCTTCTTGGTCCAATCTTGGCGTTGAAATCTCGAATGATGACCTTGAAAAATGTGTGGTCTTCTCTGTAGAACTTCTTCAAGTCCACATAGAACGCTTCGACTTCTTCTTCGTCATAGTTTGATGTCGGCGCGTAGACGGCGAAGATTGCCAAAGCCGGAATTGATTCACGTTTCTTTAATCTTAAACATCCAATCCGGGTTGTAAGTTGTTCGAACGAATCGATGTTCATGAAAAAACTCGTGTTGACGAGAACGCCGGTTGCGAGGAACAGATATTCTCCGGTGTCATGGACGGCGTTGAATGGGTGGCCACTTCTCGTCTCGGCCAAGCCAATGACGTTGTACCTTATTCTTCTTGTTTGCATGAGCAACTCTTCTATCGAAGACTCGGATGCAAGTGTACGTGTATTGCAGGTACAGATCGTCACCATAGTTCTTTGAAATCTAGGCAGCTTCCATTGGCCCTGAGATTTTAGCAGCCTCTCCGTACTCATGCTACCCAACGCTACGAAACTGTAGGCTCCAGTCAGGGTAATGAGGCCCGTTCTTTTTACTGTGTTTAGCATTTTTATAACCACGTATAGCTTGCTAGGTTCCGAACGTGGGGGCTGGGTAGCTGGGTATACTCACGGGTAGCTTGCCAGGCTCTTCCAGAGTGGACATGGAGCTCATTTGTTGGAGGCGACTCCTAACCGCCTCCCATATACTTCCCAGTCACTTGATTGCAGGCTTTTGGCCGATTTGACTCGTAGAATACAATCCGCGTAACCAAGAACGCACCCACACACGCGTGCATGAATATGCCTCGTAAATACAGAAAGTGTGTGCCAAATCGGCGCAGTAGAAACAGGGAGTCAATCCCTTGGATCCACTTTCGTCTCAGGGAAGCAAAGGTCTTTTGGTCCGCGATTAACCTCCTATCCGCCACTTGGGGACGCGCCACGTAGCCTCGCCACTAACAGGTTACCGGGACCCCTCACAAAAGGGAGACCCGTGGGCGTAATACCCTACCATGAAAAATCATGATAGGCAGTAAATATAAAAGTTAACATTGTGATTTCAGCTACAGCTTCAGCTTAACTGGGTTGGCTACCGATTTGGGCTCCCTAGTTCAACCCTGTTGATGGGTGATTGTTGATGATGCTGATCACTAGAATTAGCTGAGAGACAGGCGAAACGAAGGACCCGCATGGTGTGGTGGTGAACGTGTTAGCCTCCGGAAAGGGTTATAGCGCGTTCGTTCCTCACGGCAGACACCTTGGTTCTGGAGTTTTGCAAATATCTCGGCATCATCGTCGTTATATCAACATTGTTTTGTTGGTAATTTCCATCAATAAAGGATCTATGTGAAGGACGTATTGAAAGCGATATACTGTAACTACAATTCTAGTTAGTTCTCACCTAAAGATGACATGCTTGAAAACCATTCTAATGATGAACAACTTCAGTTGGAGGTTTAAGAGTGTATAAGTTATTGTAAGTAGCCCTGAGCAACAACCACATTCGTGTCATCATTTGGAAGTGTTTTGTGGATTATGTTGAGTTTTCGGTTCATTCAGTCGTATGATGAGCTAGATGTGTAAACAGGTGAAGAGAAGACATCGTCCGTGTACCTGGCACCTTCATTGGGGATGGATAACTACTTGGGAGAACAATAAGGCAGAAGGTAAGAAGAAGCATGGACCGCCCTCAGGCCACTCCCTGAGATCAATGATCAAGTCGATGATACCGATCTATGCTTAATGCGAACTCATCGACGGAACGCGTCTTCTAGCAATGGATTCGGTGCAATGCAGAGGAAACATGAGCTGACACTTCGGCGACATCCAAGAAGTTGCCACGATGCGCTAGGCGGTCGAGCAACGTTTTCTAGAAGTGATTCGAAATCCACTCGATTTTCGCAGTCCACATTCTTGACGAATACTTCTTTTTTTCAGATCTAGTGGAATGCGTTTCAGGAAATAAACATGGACTGGCCGACCACATAATGAGTAGGGAAGACGATACAAAAAAACGACGGAATGGATTCTATGAGAATCAAAATGACCTTGAGACAGACCATAAAGGAAGTGAACCGATGTATTCCGATTTGCTCGTCACATGCGTAGATCTGCTCTACTTACAGGTGGAATCAGTTTCATATCTTCAAATCCCAACTACGTTGTTGATTGCTTATTGACTTCTGCGATACAATACAGCTATAGTTAAGGAGAAATTTCATTGAATTTGATACCAATATGGAGAATACATCGGTTTCAAATTTTATCATTGATCCATTTTCTGGAAAAGGGATGTGGGCCTCACCTATGGATGTCCTGACCTGGCGACTGGCCTTCCCTTGTCTTATGAAATGTTGGTTGATAGCTATGTAGACTCTTGTGCACTCCATGACCTAACAGAGAATCGAAACAGAGAACTCAGAACTACTTCCGGTGACTGTCTCAAATATATGAATGATTTCAGACAGCAATGTGTTCTTATCACTGAAGCCGTTCTCGGTCTCTTCTTCTAATTTTTAGGGGTAAAGCTTCGCATTGCGTCCGCTGATAAGATCTCAGCAGTACTTGTAATCATCATGAAATTTGTTTTTGATGAGCATTCAATGAGGGACTGATTTCGTGAAGAGAAGAAAATCATTGATGTCGAGTCTCCAATTACTTTATTCAATCCCAACACTGAACTCCTGTTCAGCTCGTCATTGATCAATAATTGACTGTTTTCTTGATCAACAGGCATGGAGCTGTTATTACACTATTATTCGTTCACAGCAGTAGATATTTCAGTGGTTTCAACTTGTTCAGAACCTGAAAAAGTCAAATTGACGCTCTCTCCATCCAGCTGGACACTCTCATACGCAAGCCCTAAACAACTTCTTCTAAACACTAACCGTTTTAGCCTTTAGAAGCCTTCTAGTTGCTGTTGGACACAAGCTGCTCAGAGTCGGGGCGAGGTCACACATGCTTCTCTTTTCTGTTTATTTCTGGATTTTTGGAATTTGTCCGAGCCGCTTCGAGAGTTTTGAGCTATGGCGTTTTAGCGTGCTATGCGACGATAGTGATCTTTACTTCGAAACCTTTCTGTTACATCTTTTTGCCCTACACATGACAAGTAGAGTCTTCTCCTTTACTTTAACTCCCCATCCGGTGCTCTTTGAATAAGGTTCACAGTGCCCTACCCGTTACGCCAATGTATTCGTCAGCGCACGATTCACACCTGCAATCACTGTCTCTCCAGTTAGGGCGTATTATGCAATTTTCCTTTCAGCATAGACGGTCATACAAGTGGTTACGAACTAGCTGACTTTCCAAACTGTTCAGTGATAGTTCAGCTACAGCCACAGATTTATCGAAATCAGCTGTTTTAGAGCAACGTTTTATAGGTGCACTTATTTCGTTGGAAATGAATAGCAAGATAAAGTGAACTCTATTTTGAGAGGGAGAGGAAGTGGTTTTCTTCCAAACCTATTCGTGGAACCCACATACTGGTGGTTGTTCGAAAAATCTTTGCATCCTTTTTCTATGTGAAGGGTGACAGGAGAGATAATAAGTCAGTATGCCTCTGCTACTTAGTTTCCGATAACATTCAGCGAGGTAGCCGTTTTTGAACTCCATTCAGTCGTGAAAAAGTAGAAAGGGAAATGAATCTTTACTTAGGCGCACTAGTGTTTTAATGTATTCTTCAAAACCAAGGCATTTAAATCAAAGTTGATAGACTGGGTCATTTTGTACGACTCCTCGAGAGAAACATTCAAACTGCTGTTTTTAGCCGGCTATGCGACGCTATGCCACCACACAAGTCCCTGAAAGTTGTTGATCTTGTGAGATCGTAATATACTAAATATGAATGTCAAGACTAGGAATTTAGAGTGACGACCGCCCACCAATTACTGCCAACTTTGGAAAGTGCATTAGGAGATTAGTACAGTCGTTTGGTGACATATCCTTCAAGAAACCTTGGAGACTAAAATTGATTAAAGTAACATGAGTTCCGAGGGTTGAGAGAACCTAATGAATCTTCCATACGTTGCTGCTGCGTCATCATTGCGTACTGTTCCAAGCGCTACACTAATACCTTGGTCAAAAAGCTGCAACAAGTTTAAATTATTCAGTTTTCGTAAGAAAGAAATCCATTAAACTGGTGTTACCTTTGCTAAAAAGTCTCTCGCTCCTTTACCGAGATAAAAGTAGGCATAACGGAAGGTGACAGCTTTTTGGTTGTAATCTCGATTGTAGTTGTACAGGTAGACGGCCTAAGGGTATATTGGCTTCATATCGATTACTTTTTCACAGTCTTTAATAGTTTCCATGACAACGTTTCCATAAAAATTTCTAACCACCTCACGTTATCCACCTTAATGGCAAAGTCTGGAAAAGGCTCAATTCGTGTTCTATTTTAGGCTCTACTGAGTGTTGTTTTCTCCACGAACAGAAGAATGGAATGACGTGATAATGTGTCGAACGAGGGCAACCTGTTAGACAGTGAAGGACATGTCGGAGATCAACGCGTATATTATTTCCGTGGAGCTACACCCATGAGAGGTAATGTAATACAGGTGGAGTCATTATTCCGACTTTATACTATTACAAGCAGGAAATTACCCAAACTTAAGGAAGACCGAGCGAAAGATTCGTCGCCGAAAGCACACCTCCCTCTGATCCACTTCGTGATGAAGACCTTCAACTGTCGCATCATAACAAGAACACTATCATCAACTGCTACTCACCTACCGACTGACGCAGCTGATGAGTACGAATAAAGTGCGTTCAGCTGGAGGAAGTCATCCGCAATGATAAAGCATATCATAAATTTGTTGTCAGAGACTTCAACGTCAGAATAGGAAAGGCCAACGAGAGCGAATACAGGATAGGAAATTTTGGGTTAGGAGAAAGAAATGGGAATGGGGACCATCTCGCAGGACTCCTGTCCGCAGCATGTCTCTTCCATGGAAACTCGTATTTCCAGAAGGAAGAAAGCGACTGCTGGATATGGGAGTCTCCTAACGGCATCACTCATGCGGAGATCGACCACATTCTGACAAACAGATGGTGGGCCCTACTTGACACATCGGTAGTCCCGCTATTCTGTACTGGTTCCGATCACCGCCTTCTTCGCGCGAAGATTCGATTCAGCCGCAAGCTGGAAAAGAGCTCTCTTCATCGACCACGAAGAGAAGATCTAGTTGTATACGCCGAGAACATTCTGAACGAAGTCCTGTATAAACGTGACTGGCGGATTAAAGAAGACCCGACCGATGACTACGAACTGCTTGTCGAAGGATTGAAAAGCTGTGCCAAATGTGCCAAATTCGCCTCTGTTCTTCAAGCGAGAAGATCGGATCGCATCTCCATCACTACTATTGCTCGAAAAGAGAAGGAAACTGAAGTTTGATTCTACTGCAACACGTTTAACATAGATAGTAATAAATTCCAGCTGCAGAAGGGCTTTGTAGGAAGATCTAAAACGGTACAAACAAAAGAAACTACTGGAAGCAGCAAAGAAAAAGCAGTCTGCCGTCGGGACAATGTTCCGCTGTCAGCATTGGTGAACGAAGATGGGATCTTATGAACTGATCTTCATTAGCTGATGCAAGGTTGGTATAGGTCTTCATTGTCAGCTAAAGAAGATCGGTTTATAAAATCATATAAATAAATATATCAACTATCTATGTCGAGGTCTATAGAAAGTCGGTCTTTTGAGCTATTAGAAGATGGAATCGTCAAAAGTTCCCGCCATGATTAGGAATTAATAGCGGAAACGATCTACACCAACCTTTTTCGTTCCACAATCCAAGTCCCAGGCCCTAATATCTCGTTGGAGAACAACCACCTGGAATTCTTCCGTCGGAGGTTCGAGTTGCGATAGAAGGCATGAAAAAAGGCACAGCTCCAGGACCCGATAATATTACCGCGGGCTTCCTTAGAGCTGGAAACTACAATTTACATGTACTTCTCACAAATCATATGACAGCCTACCTTCAAAAGGAAGAAATCCCAGACCAGTAGAGAACGTAGCGCACGGTCATCCTGCTCAAAAAAGGAGACTGAATGGATCTTCGCAACTATTGTCCCATATACTTGTTAAGTGTACTCTACAACTTCTTCACGAAGATTATTCCCTCGCGCGCATCAAGGACATTGGATGAGGAGCAACCAGTCGAGCAAGCAAGATTTCGAAAAGGATTCTGATGCATGGACCACATCCAAACCGTGTCCAGTGTCATCGAAGCTTGTCGGGAATACCACTTGCCTCTAGTCCTAACCTTTGTCGACTATAAGAAAGCGTTTGACAGTGTCGAAACGAATGTAATCCTATCAGAGCTAGTCGACCAAGGAGTGGACCTGCCCTACATAAGGACTCTGCCCGACTGTTATCGAAACTGCACTACGAAAATACAGCTTTTTCTTCGATCTCTTGCATAAGAAAACGGGTTCGACAGGGCGACACAATATCGCCAAAGTTGTTCAATGCCGCACTGCAGTGAGGTCACTCGATTGGGATGAGAAAGGCATACGTATTGGTGGAAAATTTCTGTCAAACCTTCGTTTTGCCGACGACATTTTCATCTTCTCAAGAAGCACTAGCGAAGCAGAAGTGGTGGTCAACGAGCTCAACGAAGGAGGGGAAAGATCGGACTTTGCATAAATCAAAAGAAGACCCAGTTCATGAAAAACCCATGGTGCGAAGGCAGAGGGCGTTTGAGCAATGTCTTGTGAAATATAACCGGCACTCTCAATATGTTGCCGGAATGCGAAGCTCTGACCTTCGAAATCTGTCACATGATCGAGATCGAGGAGATTATACATCGATACTGAAACATAGATGGACCGGTCACATAATGAGAAGAAGAGACGACAGATTCACGAAAAAAACTGTAGAGTGGAATCCAAGGAAGTGAAAACGTACCCTAGGACGACAACCTACACGTTGGAGGGACGTGTTCGTAAGCAAAGTTAAAGCTGTACCCGTGGCTGCGGTTGTTTCACAGATCACGGTATGAGACTCGCACGCGCTACCATGCTCGAACACGACCACCACCATGGACTACGATTGCGAAAGAAAGGAATGGCATATGTGCTAACGTCCGCACAGCTCGTGAAGACGGATCGTCCAAGTATCGAAATAAGTACAAGCAGGAAAAACGTAGGTGCATCTCGTTGGCCGGTTCTTTTGCGTGGCTTGTCAAGCGGTTCTCACCGAGGCAATGTTTCTTACCTTTGCAGCATCGTATGTGTACGTCGGAAACACCAAGTTTGGAAACGTCTTTAAATCGGCGTCCGAAAATCCAGAAATGCCGGAAATCACATTGTAGACTGCTAGAAATGATTGAATGTTTTCCGTCTGAATGAAAAGATGACATATAACTACAATGATGCTGAGATATGAACAAAACTCGGAGCCTCAGCTAGTTGTTGAACCCGTTATTATCGCTTCCGAGTGCCATTCAGCACACCAGCCGAGGCCCTTGCTTTGCGTTTCTCTCAGCCGCGTCTTGCCTGCACCAGTGGTCTCATTAATTACCTGTAAATGCGAAGCAACTGGGAAGCACAAATTGACGTTGAACCCAGTTAAGCTGAAGCGGATTCGAAGCCCACCTGAGGTTCCGAGTTTTGCTCATTTCTCAACACCATTGTGGTTCTTATTATGTTTCACATCATGGCCTGGTATAAAGAAAAGAATAGGTGGTAGGTGAAAGTCAGAATAGAATAATGACAAACAATAAGTCCTTGTGAAAAGTCACCTGACGACGATTGCGCAATCATTACGGCCATCCGGAGAACAAGAAGTGCAAGAAGAAGACGCATTGTAGTCCGAATAAGAAGCCAACCTGTCCTCGAAGAAGATGAACAATTGGGGTACTACTTCTCACTGCCTTGCAAATGTTAAAACAATCACAATGTTCATCTTTTTAAAACAATAATTGGCTTTTCCTGCTCTATTTCCCTTAGAAATGATTTTTTGCCAAGATTTTCGTAGAATGTTTTTTGAATAGTTGATATGACGTCTGAATTCGAGGATGATCGAGTGTCTACAGGTTTTGAGGACTTTTAGAGTGGGCCATACACCTAAATCCGGCAACGATGATACTGGACACAGACACATAGACACATAGACACATACACATACACATACACACACACACACACACACACACACACACTAAATGTTTTTTTGCACAATAAAGTCTTTCAGCTATTTGAAATTCGAAGCAAAATCTCAGGGTATTCTAACAAAGAATCAATTTCGCACTGAAAAACATGTCACGAGGGCAAATTGCTTTAAAATGTTAAGGCACTATACGAACTACTGTTCACACGTGCTATTCAGCCTCATACTGAAGTGAGTTCCTAGATAGGGGAAGAATAGCATAGTGGTTGGTTGGAGAAAATCGGCATCGGGGTTGTCTGGGAAAAAAAATAACTAATTCAAGTGGGAACGCTTTCCTGGCTATCCCAGATCTCCAGAGAGATTCAATTAGACCAGAATTCAACGACATTCATGGTGAAAGGAAAATCACACATTTAGCAGTCGAACCCACACTTAAAAAGTTGGAAGGTCTATACAGATGATGATGGACACGAAGAAACGAATCGAATGTAAGAAGTGCTGGGATCCACACAGTAGACGTGAAGGACTGGTCGTACAAAAAGAACTTCCTAGATAATTAAGTGACCATCTAAGTAGTAGCACTCATTGAATGACCAATTCGGTATTGCCGCTTTTCTTCAAATAAGCACTACGGCTGTCAAAAACTGGCCGAACGAATTACCTGTTGGCTTTCACCTCTATACAAAATTCAGCGCCGATGAAGCTGGTGTTTTTTTGTTATGTTTCCACACCTGTTTTTTATTGACTGTGAAAATTACTGCATAAAGATGAATAGAACGGAGGAAGGATGTGAGTGCGTTGATTGTTATTTGCAAGAAAGCATTTTATACCTGACAGGGTGGGATCTCTCCAACGGAAATCAATTATTGCGATGATGTAAAGGATCCTTTCGTATTCTCCATCATAAAATAACGTTACCCATTATCGACTTAACATATTCATGACAGCAATGTTACAGTTGATACAAATTCCTTCTTGGATTCTATGAAATGCAGCCAAATGGTGATGAGATATTTTCAAAACTCCTACTCCAGTCCAGTTTCGAACCTGTGATTACCCTCTCCGGGCGCTCACGTGTTACCCACAGCACCACTGAGGTCCTAGCCTTAGTTTTTTCTCAGCTACTTTTCTTAACTTCTTCAAGTTTAGTATATTCTCAGGAATGAAGTTTAAGCTGAAAAAATGGGCAGATTCAAGTTTAGGCTGTTCTTTTATTTCATATAGAGCCTTGCCGTTGGGGCGGATAGCACAGTAGTAGTGATGTTCGTTATCACAAACATGGTGCTAGTTCGATTTCTCCCTGGGCCAACCAAGCCTCTCATTCCTCCGAGGTCGAGAAATTGGTGCCGGACTTGTCTAGGAAAAAAAATCACTTTCTGCAATCCAATTAGGAACGCTCAAGCCCGGCTATCTCAGGCCTCCAGGAAAAATCCACCAGCATTCTACCGCATTCGAAATGAAATGAAATTCCTCAAGCAGCAACCGAAGCTACACGTAAAGCTGGAAAATCTTCCTAGACAATGGATTCGAGCAAACGAATCGAATTTAAGAAGTGCTGGGATCCGCACGGCAGACGTGAAGACGGGTCATATAAAAAATATCCTGCCATAGAATAACAGCAGTTAATAGATAAAAAGTTATACACCATCTTGGATTACTAAGCTAACTCTAGGCTGATAAAAAGATTTATTCGGCTGTAATCTAAGAAGGTATTCATTATCATTAATGCCGAAGTTAAATGGAAGTCGGTGTTAAAAACATTATTGCAACGAATTCCTTTTCATAGGCAAAAAGTCGGAATACAACGCCATGGAAATTACTTGGTTGTCAAATACTGTAGTGACCAACGGAGATCAGATAACCGATTAAATACACGCAAATAACCAGAGGAGAAAAAGTAGGCCTGAGACTTTTGGTGAAAACTTTTATGAAATATTTGGTGGGTACTGTGGGTTAATCGCGGTCCAAAACCGACCTTTGCTTCGCTGAGACGTTGGTAGATTCAGAGGTGGGTACCCTGTTTCTACTACGCAGATTTGGCACATACCTCCTGTATTCACGAGGCGTATTCATGAATGCGTGTGTGAGCGCGTTATACTATATGCGGATTGTATTCTAGGAGTCAATTCGGCCAAAAGCCTGCAATCAAGTGACTGTGAAATATATGCGAGGCGGTTAGAAGTCGCCTCCAACAAATAAGCTCCATGGCAAAAATAAGCTCTAGGAGCCTGGCAAACTACCCGTGAGTATACCTAGCTCTCACGTTTAGAGCTCAACAAGCT